AATTCCTGCCACAAAGCTAATCTGCTTTTGGGATCAACATAGTACCGCTGTGTAACTCTGCAGTTGCTCTTCCATGCAGGAGGACGAGCTTTGGTCAGCTTCAGCATTTTGGTATGCTCTCAGTTGGTCCTCTTTACTTTTCTGTATAAACTCAGTTTCTTGCAAAAAGTCTTGTGAAAAATATCCTTCCTGGTGAAATCTAAGATTATGACAAGAGTGAACCTAATGCTGTTTGGCCAGTTAGGTATTTTTGATCATGAAATAATACTCTGATTGTACTTGCTAATGTTGAAATTTATAGCATTTCTGTCAGAGAGGGGGAAAAAGACCTTTCACTATTGAATACTATCAGTACAAAATTATGATGTTTTTCAGATGCAAGCTCTTAAAATCACTTAAGCATCTTGTAAATTTTACTTCTTTAGAGATGATTAAATAATCATGCCTTGCACTGATACCACTGCAAATAAACTTCCTTTGCTTGTTATACTAAGTGGTTATTATTCAGACAGCAATTACACTGGTATTTTTTCACACAAGATGTTATAGTTGTTTTAGTTCCATTACCTCTCTTTTACACTTCTCTTTCTGATGCAGACAAAGTTACGACATTCAGATTGTAGCTGTGGTGGACCAGACAGGATTTAAATCTGGTAACATTCTTGATTTAAAGAATCCATTTTTTAGGTAAGAAATGCTTTTGACTAAAATATTACTGTTGTAGAGTGGTAACGTCTTGTATGACAGGATGCAAAGCACACCTACCATGGAAGAACAAGTTTCTGACCTCTTACAGTTTATCTTATTTCTACAGGTATGAGGACATCATTGTTCTGTATTAGCAGTAGTTACATATATAAGCCAATATTCTATTTAGGCTGTGTGACAATGAGGAAAAGAAAAAAGCTTTATTAAAGATCTGTGATGATATAGTGCTGTGACAAAATAGTAGACATTTACTTACTTGAACTAATGTATACTTAAATTCTTTTGCTGTTTCCTGTTGTGTGATGTGCATCATTGTGACTCGAGGAATCAGCAATATGCCAAGATGCACACTGCTAAGTATCTAAATTGATACTACTATTTGACATGAAGGACCTGTCCTTTCTGTATTAAACACGAGGGAAGGAAAAAAATCTACTTGCTGCAATCCTTTCCAACAGAGCAGGGACCTTCATTAGGCATTGCTACAGCACCATATTTTGGGAAAAGCTGTCAATTACAGATCAAAATAAGCAGGAGGAAGGAGCCATCAATTCTTCCAAAAGAAAAAAAGGGTTTTTGAGAAAAACAGGCTGGCTGTGTTCGGTTCTCATTCTTATGCTGTATTTGGCATAAAAATAGGCAAATGCAGGTGGTGGAATTGATTTTTTCCAGAGGTATACATGGAAAATGCTTTCCTCATTCATTATGTGTTTCCCGTTTCCTATTTTTTTGACTCAGACCTGTATGACAATTCCACAGTAATCCTATAAAATATCCATTGTGTCTGATGAAAATGAATTAATTTTCATCTGTACATCAAATGTGCGGCACAGCAGTTGTTTTGGCTTTAGAATGGGGCCCTTTTGATTAAATTCATAAAAATGCCTTTGTAATAAAGACTGTTTATGGGAGACTTGCAGTAACTATAAATAAAATCATGAACTGGAAAAGATTAATTTCCTCAGATTTGACCTGTGACATGGACAGTGTCTAGCTTGCTTATGTTTTTGGTTTGGCTGATACTGGTTTCAAATCTAAAAGCTTTTTGTGAGGATGATTACAAGTAAGTTTACCGGTCTTCTAAAATCTCCATCCTTACTCCCAGCACTCATTGCATAAGTGCGAGTGCCTTTTCAAAGATAATACAAGTCCACTCATTTAGAAGCAAAAGAAGCTTTTGTTAAGAGTTTTTAACTTACATAAAATGTAGAAATCACTTTCAGAATGCTATAACTCATTTGCAAGAAAGCAGGGGGGAAAATGGTCAAGTTGTGTGTTACATATAGAAGTACTTTAAGTTACATGAAGTGGTATTCTAGTTTGAAAATTCAATGTAAAAATGTCACTGTGTGATTTAATGGTTGCTAGCCAATTAACCATACCGAGTTCAATAATCTAGACTGCTGTTCTTTTATACATTAATTCTTAGAGTGCTTGGTTGTGAAATCCTGCCACAACACACTAACCTTATTTAACAGGCTTCCCCTGTGAGGCTCCATTAGGTTTTTTTATTGATCCTTCTCCATTCTGCCCCTGCCCTCCCATACCAATTACCAGAACTCTGAAAGAGTTGAAAAAACAAAGGCAAAGACTTCCCAAAAGAAAAATGCTTACTTATAAACATAAGGTAACTTTCAAAGCATTCGTAAGTTTTTTAAAATTAAAATATAATCCAGCTTTTAAATTGTGACATGCAAATTACTGTGCATCGTGGAACATTATGCCAACACATACAGCCTAGCTCTCTTCTACATCACTGCTTCATAGTGTCCCTGATACAAATACTTACCTCTGTACCACAGGGAAGGATAGTAGGGAAGGGGCAATTCTGGACATTTTTTGCTCATTTAAAACAACTCCATACTAATTCTATAGCATAAGATAAAAATAAAAGACTGGACTGGGAAGCCTTTCATTTCTGTGAAGGCAATGGCCTGAGCTGCTACACATCACAGCAAAAGGAAGCCTCTGCCTTTGTAAAATAAGCTATAGTGGATTTGGTAGCATTTTACACTTTCTTGCACAGCTGCAAATCTAGATGAAAAGACTTACAATTTAAATTTGAAATCACGCTGCATTTAATAAATCCAGTAACAGCACAGGGGACTGATTTCCTAGCCTTATTCCAATGAGACTTACCTGACATACATTGGCTGAGTGTTGTGCTTACAACACTTTCAATTTCATAGAAGTCCTTATTAAATATCAAAAAGCTGTCAATATTTTTTACTCCAGAGTAAAATAAAAGCTGTATTAGAATTTATTGTTTGCTTAGTTCAGCTAGTGCTGTAAGCTATCAAAGAATTGTATATCTTATTATAACTATTTTATTCTTTCATCCATTTTTAGGTATGCCTAGAATATATTATAATATCGCATCTGAAAACAGAGTTGAGATTCTCACCAAGCTGAGTAACCAGTGAGACTGAAATCAGTTCAGTTCTTAGTAGGCCTACTGGTGCCTGTGTAAAATCAATTTGTAACTGTACATATCTGTAATTGTATGTGAGTCACATGAGAAGGGAATATTGTGGTTCCATCCCTTGTTTTTTTAATTGAAATTTAGCCTGCGCTCACATTTACAGACTTGAGTTGCAGCAGACTCAATTTTATTCCAGAAAGTTCATTTGGTATAGAACAAGAACTATTTCTCTTTCTTTGTTTTTATTTGTGTTTTACAGTAAGCTCACATTGGTTCACTGGTCTTTTTTTTTTTTAAATATTCTTACCAATATTCTAGGTTATTGAACAAAACCTACCTCATGTTTATATATGTAACACATCAAAAGATCTTTGAGCAGGATATAGTGTCCATGCTTCAAACACTCAGCATTTATTTCCAGATATTTCAATTTTTGTTGTTAATCTAGCTCACCAGGGCAGTGTGCTAAATACTTCAATTTTCTCTCAATGGACTCATTAATTTGGTTCATTTTGAGACACGAACCTGAAGTCATCTTGCATATACTTTGTAAATGTTCTAGATTTCTCTATGCCTATAGAAGTGTAACAGGACACATTTGTAAATTACTCCCAGCATAATGATATAAAACTATGATAGGGTAAGCGTGACTTTCACTTTTTCTGTAGCTCTGTGAGAAGTATTGATAGTCCAAGCTATATAAAGATGTATTTTTGGCTTGCGTACCTAGCAAATGAGGAAGACTATAGAGTTATAGCACAGATTTTAATGAGATCTCTCTTCAGACAATGTTATCCATAAAGAGCACATAGTGACTTTTATAGAACGTGTTTCTGTTGTTCAAAGTATATGCCTTAGGCTGAATTAATGAGCTGGAGTCAAATCAGAAATGTATACATCATTTTACTACCAAAAACATAACTGCAGGGATACCTCTAGCAAGATATAATCAGCCCTTAGCCTTCCACACCCTGTTGGAGAAGGCTGGTTTGAATGAAAAGCCCCACGAAAACTGACCGTTCTCTCAGGAAGCTACATGCCACATTTGATCAAAAGACCACCTAAGGACCCCTGCTGGAAATCATTAAGAAACAGTTGTAGTTTCAGAGTTTTTTCTGCAAGTCAACAGCCATTTGCAGCTATTTAAAGATAGTTTATGAGATTATGGAAAGTAGTCCCTAAAATTGTGAAACTTGTAAAAGTAACATGAACTTCATGGCTGAGGCCGTGAAACCATTGAAGTTAGTGTCAGAAAATTATTGCCTTGTTATTTCCAGTAGCATTTAATATAGCAGGTAAGAGACTTCTAGTATAAAAATGTAGTTTGCACAGTAAAAGCCTGTTTTGTTACACAAATATATAATATATATTTAAAAAATAGTATTTAATGTGGGTTGCTGCCTCAGAATGGTAACAGAAATTATCATTCTAACCTGTACTAGCAGTGTAATGAGATTTCTGATGCAATGTCTGACGGTTGGGTATCCGTCCTTCCTAAATTGAGTCTGTACAGTGGTTGGTGGTTTTATGCTTATATGAGAGAAGGAAACAAACCCAGGAATGTCCAAATCCAAATACCAGGCAGCTGTAGTTCAGAGTTTTCTAGAGTTTGGAGGGTTTTCCACAGCAATTATGAAAGGAGTACATGAAATCTGAATCTGAAGTCAGCTAATAGATTTGTAATGTCTCCTACTGACCTGCATGTCTGTCTGGATCTCACATTTCAGTCTCCAAGAAAAAGTATCTGTGTATCAAAGACTTCTATTTTCTATAGGGAAGAACCTTACATTGTCAATTTCATGTGGCAACTTCAGTTCTTTTTAAGGAAGTAAATAAAGGGGAGGAAAAACAACAGCAGCAGACAGCAGTGTCAGATTGTATATCTTTATTTAATTCCAGAGCAAAAGGTTTATGTATCTAATAACTGCATCTTCAATATGTATAGAAAAGATTGTTTCCTTACACACTAACTAGTACAAAGAATATTTCACAGTGATTGCTACTTTGAAGTGATTTGGATAATCCAGGACTGGTATTTGTATTTCTCTTTACTTCAGGAATTCACTTTATTCCAGATTGTATGCTAAAACCGAAGAGAAAATTGACACCAAGTACTGTACCATTTACAGTTTGAAATAAGGTCCTGTGACTGTCTTCATTTCCTTCTCATTTAACATTTTCCTCTTTCCTGCTTTGAAGCATTGGTGATTTTGAAGTATACAGGAGCCTACCTTCAAGGACTACAATGTACTGTTTTCACCTTACAGGACTTTCTGGGTATAAACATAAGAATATATTTGTAAAGTATTTTTGAAACAAAATGTCAATGAAAACATTTTATTGATACAAATGCTGGTGTTTTGCTTCCATTTTTTATATAGGCAACGTTAATGAATGCTACAGAATGTAGGGAAACTAAAGCAGAACTGTGGGGACACTGGAGCAAGAAGTGATGATGTAGTTTTACAACATAAGACTCTTGAACAGATTTTACCACATTATGAAATAGAGCATTTCCTCACTTACAGTAAAGAAGCTATATTAATCCTGTTGAAAAATGACATATTGTCTTGCATCCCATAGACTCAAAAAGCACAATAGGAAAGACACTGAATATCACATTAAGGAGCTATACATTTTTGTATAGCTTTGTTGGATCCATGGTAATTTAGAAGGTTCATCTTCAAGAAAAAAGCAGTAAGAAATGCTTTTAACAGCTTATTTTTCCAACAATTGCATATGGTTATTTTATTTTACCTTGACCCCAGAGAGATGCATTTAAATTTTTGTAAGCAGTCATACATACATAGCAATTCATGATAAATCACATTTTTGGTAGTAATGACTTTCATTTTGAATGTCTATCTATATGAGTTCTTTCATCTGAACTGACGATTAGAACATTCTGTCCTTAGGAATTGTACAGGAATTCAATGTGGTTACTATTACTATAGTGATTGCTAAGAGAAGTAGTGAGTTACTGCATATTGTGTGCACTAGACCCACAGAAATCTTTATGATAGCATTCTTTATAATACTTATGACAACTATGACATCTAAAAGCAATCTTGATGCATCTGGATCTAAGTGCAGTAAAATGCAATGGAATTGGTGTTAATTTACTTCACTAAGTTTCTATGAGTTGTGCTTTTTTCTCAAGATAGGAAAAAAAAAAAAAAGGCATTTAGAGGTTGGAAAACAAGTCTCCAGACAGTATGCATTTTATTCTTCCTTAAGCCTTGGCATGTGGTATACAAGTTTTCACTCTTCTTGACTAGATAACACACATACTTACAACTCTGCACTGATGCAAGTTGAGAGCTAGAACTGAGGAAAGATACACTGTCAAGATGCAGCTGAAAAGTCAGTATAATGGAGGACAGCAGTTCAACAGGAGACTGCAGGCAGAAAAATTAATTTCTTGCTGGAAGCACCCAAGAGGGTATCAAATACCTGACGTTAACTGTTCAGGTTCAGCTCACCAGGTTTGACCCAAGCTGATTTTAGTGATATTCAGATGCACATATTTACAGAAGAAAAAGAAGCTAATGTAAAGTGAATAAAACCAAAGACAAAGGAGTGGGAAGTATAAAAATGTCTTTCTCAAAGTGGCTGCCCCTCCCTAGGTTGGCCAGTTGTCAGGCATGTCATCTTGCAACATTGAACAAGGACTTCAGCCTAATTTGCAGCATTGAACTGAGGCTTCAGCCTGATTTTGCTGGGACTTCAGCCTAATTTACAGGAGGCTTTAGATGTCCCTTAGCTAACTGGTCAGTCAGTAGTCAGATATCCAGTGGATCATGATTCAAAACTACTGTGAACAAAGCATTGCTCAATAGCACTGAACTTATGATAATAAATCTTATGTTTAATGGCCTCTGAACAACAGCCAGTGTTCAGTTTTCACTTCAAATCACTGCCTTTCATTTGAATTTGGTCTACAATGAACGTTTTCGAGTATCTGTGAAGAAATCCCAAGCAATCTTTAGTCTAACACTTCTTCACTAACTAACTAACTAACTAACACTTCTTCAGTGGTGGAAGGGGAAGCAGAAACTTGTTTTTAGTTTTATGGGTGGTTTTCTATGCTGAGGTGCCACAGCTAACATGACAGAGATCCTCAAATGTACGTTAATCCAGTAACACTCATATAAGCAGTAATAAAAGGGGATGGTACCACAGAATATGAAACACGCTTGAGTTCAGGAAATAGCACAATTCAGGAAATAGCACAGAACTGAACATGGTACTTGCTTTAGAATAAATCACCACCACCCAAAATGCCAACAGAACAAGGTTTCCTTTGCTAATATATGAGATAATTGGCAAGTGCATACAAAGAGCAGGAACATGGATCCAGTTTTGCTAGAATTCAGGTGGAATTTCCAAAGAATTTAAGTGAATAGTTCCTTCCCAAGATCTGTTAGGAATGCAGGGCTTGGTCTGGCAAACCTGTAGATGAAAGAGCACTCATGGTCTGTATATGGAAAACAATGCAAGAAAAAAAGGCCGGCCTTCACTAACAACATTAAACTATAAAGCTGAATTTCAGAGGATCTCAGAAATTCTCCCAAGAACACTGATGCCAAGACATGCACATTAAGAATCTTGTTCTTTGCCACAATCCATCCGCCCTCAAAATAGAGCTGAGAAATAAGAACAAATGGCTCTGCAGCTGAGTGTTTTGAGCCAACTTTGGAAAAAGGGAAATATAATTCACTTAAGTTGTCATATGGATGAAACTCTTAGCAGGTGTATTTAACTAGAAACAACAGCAAGTGAGCAATATCAAGATGCACAGGAAGCCTGCCCTCTGTTTTTTTGGAATAGGTGGCTAAATTACTTCCACTCTGTCACTTCTACCAGGTCTCTATACTTTGGAAAATGACGAGAAGTTGAGTCCTGTCTCACACAGTCTAAGTGAGGAAATGAAGCAACATAACTGCAAATTAGTTTGTGGTTCTCAATGTAACCACATATCCCAGAGTAACATGCTGTAATTGCCACTGAGAATTCACCATTTCTTTGTAATTGCATCTCATCACCTTCTTCAACTCAGTTGACTTTTAACAAACATTGCACTGAATGCTAAGTCACTCAGAAAGTTAAAAATCATGATGGAAGAAGCTTGCAGGCAGCTATAGGCAAAAGCAAAATAGGGAGTAGACAGTGGGGGGCAATGAAATACCTGTGGCTCCGCTGCCTCCTTGGCTATGGTGTAGTCCAGGAAATGGATGGTCACTCATAAAAACATTACGTGCTGTCACCACCCTTTCCAACTCCAGCACGGCAGCAGGAGTAACTGGCCTCTCCATTGCTTATCACTCGGGAGCAACCAGTTCCAGGCTATCTTTAGATCTGGATCTTTCGGGATCCTTCTGGGCAGCAAAATTCAGTTATGCCTAGACATCAGCTGGTGGTAAAAAAAAAAAGGATTTTTTTTTTCATTATTAAAGGGTTGGATATACTTAGTCAGAGTAAAGTATACCCAGTGTTGCTGACTAACTTACTGACCATCTTTGCTGCAGGGCCTAAAAAGCGATACAGAGAAGAGGTCTTTGGCACACTGCAACAGAAGCAGCAGAGAAACAAATGGCTTTGGCTGTGTCTGTAGGTCAGAGGTCTGCATTGTGATGACAAGAAAGATTAAAAAATTAAGTTTTCTATTCTGTAGAAAGTGTAGAGGGGCATAATGCATTGAAGAGCTGTGCAATAGTGGTCCTCTCTCCAGAGAGGATCACCAGCTGAAACGCACGGTGATCAATCCACTTAAGGACAGCAGAACTGTCTTCTCCAGAAACAACGTAAGCTATAAAATAACAATCTTAGACAAGGTGCATGTAGCTGTCTTCAGAAACTGAGAAAGTACTTTCAGTACCATTCGCAAATGAAAATGAAATGATGCAGTTTTACCTGACCTCTGTGGTAGTTACTCTCCTGCTGCCTTGGTAGTAGAACAGCCAGGTTATGGCTGTGGTTACACTCCATTTTTCTTACAGCTTTGCACCTTCAGATGTCTTGTCGAAGGAGGCTCACTGAAGTGAGCAGAGCAGTCCTGACCAAGGCAGTAGACAGCACTCCATTGTAGCGGTCTTCACTACAATTGCCTTAATACAAAGTTCAGATCTATTGTGTCACAGAGCCAAAATATTTTTTTAGATGTGAAAATGGTCAGAGATGTACTATTAACAAATGCATGAATAAAACCCACCTTATTGTTATTTTTTTTATTTCATTGACTTCTTTACTACAGACACTACAGGATTCTTGTTTTGGCTAGGACAGATAAGGAGACATATTGTCACACTTTTGTGTGACACATTATGCAAAATGTGAGATATGCCATTTTTAAACTTCCTGTTATATTTACCACAGCTCTTATTTCTTCAAAGTCTGCTAAGAAATAAAGTGGTATGGCATTCAGCACTACTGAACTCACCATGGCTCTCCTTGAGCTGGAAGTCAATGCCAGAAAAGTGCCACATCAGGGACTGGCCCTAAATGCAAGTAAGCTACCACTGCTTCTGGTACTACTATAGCAAATTTATTCCACAGACAAATCAGAATGGACATGGATGCACTGTGTGAAAGAAGAAAAGGCTGTAGACACGTCATGATGATCTTATCCAGCCTATGACTATTCAGTGAAACATGCTTCTTGCTCTTGGAATTCTTACTGCTCGTTTTTGCTGTCCAAAGAGCATGATCCTTCTTTTTGTTTAAAAAAAACGTTGTCAGAACCACATTTTCAAGGATATCCAAAAACACGCTTGGGATACAAAGTTGGAAACCTCATGCTGAAGGAGTAATGCACAATTATATGAGTAAGACACAATTTTAGAAGAATCTGAATGTAAATCTGGATCTTGAGATGAGGCTTTCACTACAGAGACAGACTAGTAATACTGAATTTCAACATTACATCTCTTTTTCACAAATTACAAATTCACTTTTCTGAATTTTTATCTTTTGGTTTCCTTAATAACTTTTGTCTCCGTGGAATTAAAACAGCATCCAGAAGAGAGATAAAACAGACATAAAAAATAGACATTAAAACATCTGTGCTGATACATGACTCTGAACACACTTGGGAATACCCTGGCGACATTATTAGGTCACGAACTATCTTCTACAATTACAGCCTGTTTTAAGGTACCTGAAGATCTTTAAGGAACCCTTAATTATTTTTTATGAAAGACAGATGCTTGAACCTGTAAGCTGGTTGACTTGAAATCTCTGGCTGACATTCAAAAACTTCATTGGTTTATTCTCTGGGAGATGTTTGTATTATAGCAAGCAAGCTGAACATAGCAATGTATTTTCTAATGTCTTAATTGATCACGGTCTTAATTCTTGAAAAGAAACCACCAAAAAACTGGAAAAGGTAATTAGTGTGGAGAACAGACTTATCTCCAATATCTACAGAGGTTGTTCCAAACACTGAAGCAAAGCATTTGGGCTGTGGGAGCACACAAACTTGACATTATGCCCCTTGACTTAAGGCAAGCTTCAAAATACACACTCTTTCCCCCCTACCCCCTTTAAAACAGACAATTTTCATGTAATTTTGACAGGCATGATGTTAACATTTGAAGGAGTGGGAAAACTAAACACCATAATCCTGCCTATGCCTGTTCTAGTTTGCAAGTCGCTGCCAAGTCCTTCCCAGGAGACAAATAAAAGAAGAATAGTACTATCACCAGCTGTACTGAAGAAAAAGCTTTACTCCACTAAATAATTTGCCTACATCACTTCCTTAGTCAAATATACTATGGTTGGTGTTACAGAAGTATTTATTATGCTCTGACTTCATTGTAATCACGCAAGTATAATAATTACCACATTTATGAATACGGATCCCCTTTACGTTCGGAAGCAATGACTTTATTGACCACCCGAATGTGCAAAAGCACTTGACACTGACGTTTCACGCGACTGGTCACATCTGCATCGTTTTGAAGTAACAGCTCCACCTGGTGTTCTCCAGCACCATCGCTACTTAATCTGTACTGTGGTACGTTACCTTATTTTTAAGACAGGATCTTATTTATGCCGGGCAGTGGGCAAGCCGCGCTCGAGAAGGTGGCGGCAGGCCTGCTGGCCCAGCTGCAGGGTCGGCGGAGGGCAAAGCCAGGAGCCCGGGGAAGGGGACGGGGCCTTTCCTCACAGCGGCCCGCCCCTTCTAGGGCTCCGGGGTGAGTCGACGCAAACGGGAACCGCTACGGAGGACCGCGGGGTGCGCGGAGTCGACTGCGCCTGCCTGCGCCGCGGCGCGGCGCGGCACCCGCCGCCGAGGGCCGGAGAGAGGAGGCTGGCGGACAAGCGCAACGCCCTTCGCCTTCCGCGCGGCGCTTTACGGCACGCTGCTTCGGCACTGTCGCGCGGCAGCGGCCAGGCGGGCCAATGGGGAGCCGCGCCCGCCGGAG